CTTACCTGGAGTAACAGGCCTCGAAGGCCCCTGTGCTACAATAATGGGAGGCATTAAAGTTCTGTCTCCCTGGTCTGTTTAGTCAGTAGGAAGCAGTTTGAACTGTGAGTGGTATAAAGGGAAATTGAGTGACTTTTTTTTTTTAAATAGATAACCCTTTCATTAGCTTGGCAGCTGGAGGAGAGCACCTTCCCAAACAGGACAGCCAACATCACTGTGATGATCACCAAGTAAGCAGTACCTGTGGCTCCCTCACCGCCCAGAAGGGGAAACTCTGTGAGCCCAGGGAAGGCCCTGGGTCCCCGCAGTGACTTGGCTTTCCCTTCATCATCAGAGATAGAGATACTGAAAAACCTTTTTATTGGCACACAAAATAAAACTAGGGTATAGCCTGGTAGGATGAGCCTTGGACTAGAGTTCTAACTCTGGTTCATTTAACTTTAAGAAGCTATGTCATCTACAAAACTTCTATGCTTGAGAGTATGGTCCTGGGAAGAGTTCTCAAATGGGGGTGATTCTGCCCTTCAGGGGCAGAGCCTGAAGACACCTGATTGCCACGACACCGGCAGGGGGTGGGGTGGTGCTACTGGCATCTAGCGGGCAGAGGCCTGGGATGTCGCTAAACATCACACAACAGACAGGACAGAACTACCTGGCCCCAAATGTCAATATTGTCAAGGCTGAGAAACCTCTTTAAAAATCACTGTTTCTCCAAGTACGGTCTTCCAGCGAGTCTTCTGCACTCTTAACTGCTCACCTCCAAGAATCTTTTCTGTCTGACCCCCAACGATCCCGGAAAGCCAAGGTAAGCAGCAGCCGTCTGTACAAAGCAGGTATGCTATCAACCGACACTCTTATTTCCTAGTTTCAACGAAAGAAGGTCTCTGGTCAGTAAGACCCACAGCCTTCAATTCAAGCATGCCTTCATCGCAGTTCTTCCCAAGTAAGTGCTTCCAAGGGGCCGACAGCTGTGGGACGGCTTCAGCCATTTTCTCCTGTGGAAGCAACTGGTGTCGGGGGGAGGTGGGCCCTGCCCTTCCCTGAGAGGAGGCTGCTTAGAACCCAGGCTCCCACTCACCTCTAGGGCACTAACAGTTGGGTCCCAGAAACCCCATGGTCATAATCAAAGGAGGAGTGGTGCCAACTGAGGAGGGAAGGAGAGAGGGGCTGTGGGATTGGGAAGGAAGGAAGGAAAACAGTAAGGCCACACTGAGGAATGATAATCAGACCCAGAACTAGCCCCAATATACAGAATTCAAACAGTCTAACTTGATCTTAACTGCCTGACCACTTTACCTTGCTTTGATCCCTCTTAAGGATCGGGTGCCCTGGGTCCTAGTGTATCTAATTGGTAGCACTGAGGCTTATTTAAATAAGAAGGGGGCCTTGAGGTCTAACCCACGTCCTCTCGACTGCAGGCCATCGGTGATGTACATGAACACAAGCCGCGGGCTTTCTGACCACAAAGAGTTCCTCTTCAATGTAAGTGCTGGGCCCGCCACTGCAAAGCCCCGCGCGGCCAAGCTGCACCAGCCATGACTTCCTGCTCTGATTTTATTTTGCAGATACATGGGGAGAACCTCTTTGGAGCAGAGTTCCTGCTGAAAATCTGTGTTCCGATCAAATTACAAGGTCTTCACCTTGTAAGAGTGAAGAACCTGACCAAGACTCAGGTATGTAGAGGAGGGTCTTGAGCAGGGTCACATCTCTCTCAAGAGTGACTATGGATTCTCAAAGGTATAAAAACTAGGCTTCTGGGAAAGGAGTAAAAGCAAGATTAGTTAACCTGGGAACACATTAGCAGTAAATTACCAAAGCCATGCTCACAGGGACTATTAACCGCTTGGCCTTTAAAGCGACATTTCAGTTTTTTTCCCTTGATGGAAAAAATAAGCAAAAATTCTGACTTTTTAAGTAGCCATGGAGACATTTATTTTCCCTTTGAAAATTGGTAAATTCTGCTTCTCTGTGATTGGTGAATGAGCTTGATAAACATGTGGCAGTTCTTGCACTTCTCCCTATAAACTGTCTCCCATCTTCCTTTCCTCTTGCCCTCCAGCCTGTCTGCCTTGGACTCTGCTTTGCCACAGCCTCTCTGCTGTTGGTTGATGCCTCACCTGTAACAGTTCCCAGAGCCAGCCTGTGGTACAGCAACAGGCTCTGACTAGGGTGGCAGCTGAGGCCTTGGGCTTTCCTGATTTTTTTTTTTCCTGCTCGGGCTACAGAAAGTATCAAGGCTCAAAAAAGGAAAATACGGAATTTACAAAACCGAGTCAGCTGACAGAAAGAGGGCTTTTCGGTTGTAAACGCTTGTTCTCACAGTGTAGTTTATTTTCTGAGAATATTTGTGAAGTTTAAACATTTCAACAAACATGTGAGTTTCCGCTTGGAAACAAAACTCTCGTTTTGAAAAGCTGATTGGAAACCTGTCAGAATGGAACTCCCATTGTGCGCTGGGGACAGAGGTTAACAACAGCACCAGGGGCTCCCAGGCCAGTGCCCTCTGGCTTTGCGGTGGTCAGCGCCCCCTGCTTACTTAAACAGGCTGTGCTGGCAGAGCAGGTCCGTGGCAGAGCTGAAGTTCAGCATGGTTCTGTGGAAATGCTGGATCTTTCTCCTCACCTGCTTCATGGCGGGGGTGTTGCACTTGGACTTGAAGGTCATCTGCTTCAGAATCTTATCTGTGAGGTAGTGCAGCCAGAGCACGTTGTTATGGGGGTGGTATTCGCCCCAGCAGTTGTTGTTCTCCTTCCTCATTAGCCTGTAGATCTCAAACTGGTAGTCACCTTCTCCCGTAAACAGGTCCTCGTCCGTGGAAATGTCACAGAAAACCACGATCCCGTCCCGCTCCAAGCGAGACAGGGTGTAGTCAATGATGTTGACTTGCAGCCCACGGGTAGGGATGGCGCTCGTCTGCCTGTTGAGGGTGTAATGGAGCTCTTTGAGGCTGGTTTTCTTTAAAAGCACGTTCCCCCAGTGTAAGTCTCAGTGCTCAAAGTGCAGGGATGCCTCCGCCACGGCGAGGGACGCAGTGATCTGGTGTAGGATGCTCTTTGCAGTGGCGATGGAGGGCAACTTCGTTCTCGTCTGCTCTAAGTCGATCCCTCCAAACTCAAATTCCAGCACAATAAACAGCTGGCTGTCCTCAAAAAATTCAGGCCGGTCATTCGCAGACCCATTGGCTGAGTTATAGCGATCCCAGGCTTGGAGGAGCAAGGGAGGGTAAGACCCTTGAACACAGTGCACCGAGTTCAGCCCAATAAAGCCATCTGTGCGGTTGTGTGCCTCATTCGACAAGAGGCTCAACTCTTTGGAGATGATGATCTCAGGCAGGATTTCCTCAAAAGTTTTTTGATGAGCTCCATTGACTAACTCCGGCCCCTCAATAGCAATGATTTTTAGGGCTACAGGTGTGTGATTAGCAACTGTTTGAAACACTTCGCCAAACACCCCTTCGCCAATCTTCTCACAGCATTTCAGTTTTTCTGTGGACAGGCAATAGCTGAAGGGGACAGGCCCCTCCTGATTGCATTCCCTGTAAACCTTTTCTGCATCGGATGCCTTTTTGTCCGTGACATGTAGTATCTTTAAGGGGGTTAGCAAATACATGGAGGAGGAGTGCCAAGGGGACAGAGCACTGTTTGTTCTGTTCGTGACAGGAGGGTTTGAAAATTCTGATATGAAGGACTCAGAGAGAGAACTGGCAATGGTGGAGGTGCTGCACAATTTTGACACAGCAGTCACGATCTTCTTCTTGTGGAAACTGAAGGAAGCCCTGGCTTTGGTCCAAGAGCAGGCATTCTGTACATGAGTCAAGTCCTGGGTGATAAATGAATCTTTTCCCATCTTTTGGCCCTTTTTAAACTGCTGGTGATGGAGGAGGGAGGTATCTGCTGTCTCCTGATGCTTCCTTTTCCTGCTTGGCCCAGTTCTCTCAGGCCTGTTGATTTTCCCAGGTACAACACCTCCCCTGCACCCACGGGTCTCCTCATATTCCATCTGGACAGCCCCTTGAGACCCAGTCTCTCGACAAGAGTCCTGGCCTGTGGCCATTTTCTTACCCATGCTTGATAAACCTGGGCTCTCCAGCCTCCTTCCCACTAGTTCCCTTTTACAGCAGGACTCCCTCATATTCTTCCCATCTGCCCCAAATTCAGAATCCTCAGGATTTCCTGAGCCCAAAAAGCTAAAGAGAGCTGACCTGAGGCTGCCATGGGCTTGGTGGGCCAACCTGGTGAGCCTGCCTCCTGCTGTCGCTGCCTCCTGGGAGCAGGGGAGAGACGCCTGGTCCACGGAGGCTGCTGGGAGCGGGAAGCCGCTCAGAACTTCAGAGACTCCATCCAGAGAGGCGGAGGAGTTGGTACAGATGCTGCATCCTGGCGCTGGGGACCCAGGGCCGGGGCCAGGAGAGGCCGGAATGCTGAACAGGGAGGCACTGGTGCCCAGCTCGCCGTCGTCCCTGGTCTGGCTGCACACACTGAGGTCCGGGCTCAGGCGGCCCGGGTTGCCTTCGGGGAAGGGCGGCGGTCCGAGAGGGCCGCAGGGGGTGCTGCACTTCTGCCGGCACCGCGCTCGCAGCCTCAGACGTCTCGGGGTCGCGATCAGACTCGGCGGGTCCTTGGAGAGTCGGTTGCCAGCGCGCCTCCGCGGCCGACCCACCGGGCTGCCGGGGAAGTCGGGGTCGTCAGGATCGTCAGAGGCCGCGGACTGCGAGCGGCCGCCCCCGCTGGCGTCGCTGCTACTGCTGCTGCTGAAGAAACGTTTCCGGTCTTTCGGCGGGAACCACTGCACGGCTGCCTGGCCCGGCCGCCGCCACGGCGCCCCGCCGCCCGCAGCCCCATAAGTTCGGAAGAGCCGACTCCCGGGTCGCGGGAGTGA